ATAGTCGCCTTTAGGCGTTAGGTTTTAGGATCGAACCAACGACTTTTGAAATAAAATAGGTTCTCTCCTTTCGTATTAAAACATGTATAATTGGAGTTAACTCAAAGACAGGTTGTCGAAAAAAAACCATAATTCCTGTAATCCTTTAAAGTGATCATCCACAGAAACTTTTTTCTTTCTAAATTTAAAAAATGGGAGATAATACCAAAGTCTACGATTTATGCGAGATAACACTTGCAAGTTAGCAGTTATAAATAACACATACCGCTTCCCCTTATTTGTATAATACCATTGCAACAAAATAAAATTGACAAAAAAGTCAAACAACAAAAAGAAAACATTAAAACGAAAACTAAAGATAGAGAAACACGAACCCCTACCTAATTGTACAAAGTGAATGAGGATACAATTATGCTTAAGAAATGAAAGGTGTCTCTCTTCCTACAGAAAATAGAGAAACACAAAGGTAAATAAGTTGTTTAATGTATTCATAATGTACATACATGACGTACGTCAGACATCAAGATCCCACTAGTAAAGCAAGATATGCTTACCCTTCCGGAGCACCAAAGACCAATCTAGCCTTCGGGTTTGGGTTCTATTCTATTAAATGTTTATAATAGTGTCTCTTCGACTTGTGAGTTTGGAATGTTCTCTTTGTATCTTTTTAATGTTTAAATCTGCCTTTATGATGGAAATATATTAATGTTATTCGCCAAGTCCCTTTTTTACACTGTTTTGATCTTAAGATGAATAAAAACTATATGTTATTCATAATCATGCAGTTATAAAGTAATGAAGTACTGTAAATTCAGATATTTTTCCAAGGTTTTAATTATCGCTAATGAATAATGAGAACGGGTGATTATCCAAAAAAAAACCAAAAAAAACCGGCAATCTGTATTCGATACAAATACCTGTAAACAGATATTTCTGAAATCGCGAAAATCAATCTCGCAATCTTATCCATTCTTCAAAAATCGTTATATTAAACGCATGCAATAATTTTTGAACTTTCAGTAAGCAAATTTGTTCTGGAATCCGAATCAGCAGAAACCAATAACGAAGTTTTTTTGTTTTGTTTGAATAACATACATGACATTCTTTATGGACACAAATCACCGTTTCAGAATTATCTATTCTGGGTAATCTTGCGGATGGCTAAAAAAAGTCATAAACATGGAAAAATTCAACCAAGCGCATGACATTATTTTAATTTTTTGGCACGAACAATGAAATAACTCTGAAAGACTCTGAAATTGCGTATTCAAAAAATAATTGGAAAATTTATGCTTCAAAAGATTTTCTTTTGTATTGATTAAAACAAATTAAAAGTCATTTATGTTTCAGGTTCTTGTCCACTGAAATTATGACTGTCATTGTTATTTTGATATGTCAGCGAGACAAGATTGCAGTCACTTTAATATTTGTGACCAAATTTAGATAACACTGATATCAAGTCATTTTATGAATTTTTAAATTAAATTTTTAAGCAAAGTCATAACAATCCTTTATTTAATTTGTAGATCCAAGGATGTTACTATACATTGTATCCATTGAGGTATCTGTTCTATCTGTTTTTACGCTTTTCATAAGGATAGTTTGTCATTGTTCTAAGTTGAGAATAGAAACAAATACCATCAAAAAATTAAAACAAGATTGAACTCTAAGTGATATTCGAGAAATACATTTACCAACCTCAATTCAAAATGCAATATTGTCTTGATATGAAAGTTGGAACAATACTAGAAATAGTCGGTAAATTGTTTAGTTGATAAATCTGTTATGACTAAATGTTCATTATAAAAAAAATGATAATGGACGTCATAATAAACTCCGAAATATATAAAAGAAACTAGAATAAAAAATCACACAAGACTAACAAAGGCCAGAGGCTCTGACTTGGGACAGGCGCAAAAATGCGACGGGGTTAAACTTGTTTTTTTAGATATCAACCCTCCCCCTATACCTCTAGCCAATGTAGAAAAAACAAACACACAGCAATACGCACAGTAAAACTCAGTTTAAAAGAAGTCCGATGTCAGAATAGGTAACAAAAGAAACTAAACAAAATGACAATGATACATAAAATAACGATGGACTACTAGCAGTTACTGACATGCCAGCTCCAGACCTCAATTAAACTGATTTAAAGATTATGTCTTCATCATATGAATATCAATCACAATCCCTCCGGTTAGGGGTTTAGTATCATACCATCATAAAATATATGAGAAGAACATAACTTGTATCATGCCAACAAATGGTTTAAAATAAATATGTTTATTTCCGATGCAAAGACCCTATAAGTGAATCAATATTAAAGCCTATATGAATAGTTCCCCACTATTAATTTAACATTTTGCCAATGTACATGTGTAAGAGGTAGGTGAAAGACCGCAACCGAAATTATCACCAGGCGTTGTTCATTGTGGGTTTTGGTATTACCCACTTTTTATTTATCATAGTCAAATGTATACGTTGTTCTTACATATATTTCCTTCCTACTAATCATCTAATCAATCGCATTTACAATTCTAAATTTCAAAAGTGTATTATATATTTTGGATATTATTCATGTTGTTTAAATTGCATATACATACTATAGAAAGTTTGAAGTTTCATGATAAAAACACGAGTTAAGATACTAAGAGGCAATCGAAAATCGTGATTCCAGTAAAAACAGACAACACCATGGACAAATCTTAAAGCGACGAAAAGACAAGTAGCAAAAACAAAGCAGTACATAGAACACAAGAGACAGTGCAACATAACCTTAACAAAATCGGGCTTGAACTCAGGAAGGGCAAATATATTCTGCTCCACTCGCGATTGCACTCAATAAAAGTATGCATACGAAGCTCTCATCTTTGCTGCCCTGATATTTATTTTTTTGTTATGCTTTCTTCGCCTAAACAATGGAGGTTCATTTAGCATTACATTACGTGCTATCCCCTTATTTCCTGTAGACAAATTCGTATTGCATTACATTTTGTGAAATCCCAAGATGTGCTTTAAATGCATGGTCACTTCTTTAAGCACTACACTCGATATATTCGTATGACATAAAATATTTGCACTCTCGAGATATATTTATTACTGTGGATTTATTTACTTTCGTTGAATCCAATTTTCATGTTTAATGAACATTTGTATTTTCTTGGATACTTGATTTCGTGGTTTGGCAATTGCAGAATTTAGATGTAAAATGAAAACTAAATTGTAGACTAACTTCTGCAAAATTCTATGTCATGTTGCCTTACCAATTTCGTCCTAAAAAGGTTGTATTAATGATATATGCCATTCGAGGACATTGCAAGCGATAAGAGATTCAATTATGAGCTAGGAAGCATTACATGATTACAACCAAATACATTCAAGTGAAAGTACTGAGTGACCACAGATGGGAAATCCAAGTTATAATCTTTTTTGATATGTAGTAGAAGAGATCGTTTGTTTTTGTGTCGGTACTGTTTTACTTTCTTGTGGTCAAGTCTTTATTGGCTAGCATAACTTTTATTTTTTAACTTATCTAATCATAAAATCCAAAATCCTAACACCACAACGGATAGACTGTTATATATGGACCTAGCATTGCCAAAAGAACATTATAATTGATCACAAATCTGTTAAAAATTGACCTATAAATGACTTAAAACAACCAATGCAACATATTGCGTAAAATTTCAGACTATTTTATGGGTACTTCGGCCTTCCCCAAGTGGTTTCGGTGTTTCCAAGTAGCATTTCCGAGATTTGGTTAAATTGGGGATTGGACAAATGATTCAAAACATATAATTCCTAAACAAAAATGTAACAATGTAAGTAGATCAATTGTTGCTGTGACCTTGATCGTTGGCTAATTGAACTCATAATTAATATGAACCTTTTTACCATAATGTAAATTATCACTGGGAAAAATATTGCCGCTATTGCTGCTATGACATTAACTTTTGATCTTATGATCTAAACATATATCAGTCTTCTTCATGCCATGGAACATTATCAAGCCAGATTTAATAAAAAAAAAAATAGAAATGGTTCAGAAGATATCGTCTGGAAACCCGAATTTTGCTTAATTTGAAATCTATCAATAGTTGTTTGATCTTAACCTTTGACATCAAGACATCAAAATCTATAAGGTTCAATGGTCAGTATCATGAAACCAAAATATCACAAATTCTATCAACCAGTTGTTGATGTGACCTTGACCTTCGCCGTGTTACAGTCTTCTGTCTTTGCCCCTCGGGATCCCTCTGCGGATTTTGGATCCAAATCAAACACTGCTTATTATGACGAATCTTGTCTATTTTTCCTGTTTAAATATAATATTGAACCTTGGTGATTTTCATCTTTACAAAACTTTAACCAGGTGACTCGAGCATCGAGCATCACTGAAGAGACATTTATTGTCCAAATGCGCATCTGGTACATAAAAAATGGTACCATTAATGTTATTCACAAATTAAAAAATCAACTAAACATGACACTACCTGAAATTGTCTTTTAACGAAATGATAAATCAACAACAGTTTGCATGATGTTTTTGTGCTTTGTGTCGATATGTCATGCTGGAACCTTTTATAACTTACTATACGGATTATGCTTTGATCATTGTTGAAATCTCATATTGTCCAATAGTAAATTAAAACATGTTTAAGGGGGATATCAGGTATTCAAGGAAAGGAAGGCAGAGCTAGAGTTGCGAACATCTATGTCATTTGGTATCTGGTGGAGAGATGTCTCATTGGTAATCACATCACATCTCCAAATGGTTATGGTCTGTGGTGGTTCATTGTCTCTGAGGAAATCATTCAACATCTTCTAATTCTAATTTGACAAGTTTGAAGTGCATCTTAGTATGCACTTTACCCTCATCCTTGGGTTCACTGCGGGGTTAACTAATTGACACATGGACGAGTTGGCTGGTCCCTGGAGGGACGGTCAAGGTTGAGCATTTTTGTGGTAGTTATCATCAAATATATCACAACAAACACATGTCCCATTGTATATGTTAATTATTTAAATATCCAAATATATACATATATACAATCCATGAAACAATCATCTTGCAATAGTATTAAATCATTTGACTTTTCTCCACTTTACACAAGTATTCCCCATTCCAAACTAAAAGACAAATTGAAAGAGTTGGTATTACTTTGTTTCATTAAAAAGAATGGCGAACGTAGATACAAGTATCTTGTCTTGGAGAGGGATAAATCCTACTTTGTAAAGAATCACTCTGATTCAAACAAAAAATTCTCTGAAACTGACATTATCAAGATGCTTACTTGCCGACTTGTTTCTTTATTATTATGAGGCCGACTTCATACAGGAACTTCTTAGGAAGAAAGATAAGAAGTTAGCAATATCCTTTAACTTTACGTTCCGCTATATAGATGATGTTCTCTCACTAAATAATACAAAATTTGGTGACTATGTAGGACGAATATATCCCATCGTTCTAGAGATAAAGGATACTACAGATACAGTTAAGTCTGCCTTATATCTTGACTTACATCTAGAAATTGACAATGAGGGTCGATTGAAAACAAAATTTTACGACAAAAGAGATGATTTCAGCTTCCAAATTGTGAACTTTCCATTTCTATGTAGCAACATTCCAGCAGCGCCTGCATACGGAGTATATATCTCCCAGTTGATACGATATTCCCGGGCTTGTATTTCCTATCATGATTTCCTTGATAGAAGATTGCTGCTCACAAGGAAGCTATTAAACCAAGAGTTCCAAATGGTGAAGTTGAAATCATCCCTTCGTAAAATTTACGGACGCCATCACGAGTTGGTTGACCGTTATGGAATAACCGTTTCACAGATGATATCGGATATGTTCCTTATGTCGTAACTTCAATACCCTTCCCTTTTCACGAATGTTACCAACCGAATTAGACTATTTACCGGATTTGTAATAACATAAGCAACACGACGGGTGCCACATGTGGAGCAGGATCTGCTTACCCTTCCGGAGCACCTGAGATCACCCCCAGTTTTTGGTGGGGTTCGTGTTGCTTAGTCTTTAGTTTTCTATGTTGTGTCATCTGTACTATTATGTGTCTGTTTGTCTTTTTATTTTTGGCCATGGCGTTGTCAGTTTGTTTTCGATCTGTGAGTTTGACTGTCCCTCTGATATCTTTCGTCCCTCTTTTATAGCTCTTTGCAAAGTATCCATTATGTTAGTGTGTAGTCCTTAACCATTATCTTGATTATTATCTGAACATTGCCTTAGTTTCAAGTCAGTTTCCCTATCGAAGGTCGGTGGTTTTCTCCGGGCACTCGGCTTCCTCCACAAATTAAAACTGACCGTCACGAAATAGCCCAAAAGTGACGCTTAAAAGTGGCGTTAAAACAATAACAATCAATCAATCAATCTTAACCAGTATCATGGGTATCATCTTAACATTGCCTCAAATATATTTTTTATATTACTAAATCCCTTCTTTTTTACTTTGTTATACCTGACAATCATAGAATAGATGACTGCCCAATCAGATGCAGTCCTTCATCAGAAAAGGTAGTACTATTTTTTGTAATCCTTCTACTTGAGAGCAAATCTCATGGGGTACCAAACATTCTAATTTCAAACATTGCATTACACATCTAATACATTTTTACTTAATTTACAAAGAAAATAACAGCTTTAACAAACATGTGCTAATTTAGCTTATCTATCAATTTATTTCAAAATTATTATCAAAGACCAAAACTTGAATGATTACAATAACAGAAAAATAATTATATCCTTAATCTCAGACATTAAACAAAAATCTAATTTTGACAGTTCTCAAAAAAAGTAAAAACTGTCGCCTAAATTGCTAACTAATTCTTTAAAATTACACTGAAATCAAAACAATCAAACAATCTGAATATCTTGAACTTTTAAGATTAACATAAATATGTCAAATAGAGTAATATATAAGGATGTCACTTTTCACTGCTGATAATAATATTGATAATAAATTAACAGAAAAAGATAAAAAAAACCAACATTTAAATATAAAACTAGCAAATATTTCTATTTTGATTATTTTTCTGATACAAACAATATTTTGGTATAACAAATATCAGCTATACAAAATAGTAACAATTTGAATATATCATTCATAACAATACACTATATTAACAATCAGTATATATTCTACAGTTAAAATCCTTGCAATTTTTTCCTTGTTTGTGAAAGGTGAAAATATATCCATGTTAAATGTATAAAAAAAATCGAGAAAGAAGCATTCTCTATGAATTTGTCTATAGCTCATATCTCAAAAACAAGGACACGGACCTTTCATTTTGTTCTACTTTTTTAAGTTCTGTTATTTATATACTATATATATCAACTTATAACAGTCTTTTCAAAAACTTGCTCATCTTAAACAGAGGAGCGAAAATCCTTAATACAAATGAATATGACTTTTTTTGTGGTAGACTATTTATTCAGTGTATATAAAGTCATCAAAAATATAAACAAGTAACACATATATAGTTCCGTAGAACTTTTAACATATCAATATAATTAGTTCTTTTACATTCTAGATCTAAGAAACGAATCAAGCAACAATTGGTTTTTTTTCGAACGTCAGTGTTACTGTACTAGTTTACAACTGCGAAACTTAAGAATTTGTGACAGTCATTTTTTTTTATAATTTGTCAGATTTTCGTGATCCTCTCGTTTTATCTATGTGTATGCCATAGCATATTTTCAACTCTAACACACATTTTACTTTCTTGAATCTTTTACATACAAGATTTAAAATCTTATAAAACGGTGTTATTTTCTAATGTGTTTTGAGAAATAAAACTAGTCAATTATAAGGCTTTGAAAATCAAGAGAAAATATTACTTCCGCCATATTTCTAATAACTTATATCTCTAAAACAAGCACACGGAATTATGCTTGTTTTCGCTCTTTTATTTCCTTTATTGTTCCCCTATCAATATTTACCAGTGTTATGCAAAGCTTGTTATTTTAAAACTGAGTAGCGAACATCCTTATTTAACGTAAATAGTATGTACACAATGTAGAGTAGAAAAATAGGAATCAACATTGATAGGAAAAAATAAGTATATCATAAAATGACAATATGAAGAAAGGGTCCTATCACACGCTACATTCAGTAAATAATCAAACAATACGAGTAATGATAGCAACATTTGTAAACTTAATTTACAAGAGTAATATGTACAAAAAGTAGATTAAAAAACAGGAATCAACATTGAAAGCAATATTTGTAAAATGACTGCACGAAAAAAGTGTCCTACCATACGCTCCAATAGTAAATAATCCAACAACACAAGTAATGATAACAAAATTTGTAAACTAAATGAATATGAGTTTTGTGTACAAAATGTAGAGTAGAAAAACATTAATAGCATAAAAAAAAAATAATCATACAATGACAATATAAAATAAAAGTCCTACCATACGCTCCATTTAGTAAATAATCCAACAACACAACTAATGATAACACAATATGTAACCTTAATTAATATGAGTACTTAGTACAAAATGTAGAGTAAAAAACAGAAATCTATGTACAATAGATCAACAGTATTCAACATTGAGAGAAACAAAAATACCAATAATTGTTAAATGACAATATGAAAAAAGAGTCCTATCACACGATCGAGTAAACAATTCAACAACACAAGTAATGATGACAACATTTGTAAACTTTATTAAGATAAGTATTATGTACAAAATGTAGTCTCAACATTGATAGCTGTAAAAAGAAAATATAATCGTAAACTGACAATACGAAAAAAGTTCTACCACACTCTCCAAATAGACAGCAATCGAACAACACAAAAAAATGAAATAACATAACAATGATCATAATATAATAGCTCATATGAGTGTAGTATAATCCTATCTGAAAACATTCAGTAAAATAAGAAAGCTTCAGAATGAAAATGCAGTGAAACCTGTTTTAAGAGACCACTTTTAAGTGATAGCAAAAAAGTGGTCTCATAAGACAGGCGGTCTTCTGATACACGTTTAATTTATTAAAATGCACTACAGAAGGTATGAAACTGTATGTCACCATACAGCCTTCAACAATGATCAAAACCCATACCGCACAGTAAGCATATAAAAGGCCCAGAAATGACAAATGTAATATAATTCAAACAAGAAATCTAACGGTCTGATTTATGTACAAAAGAGTAAACGAAAAACAAATATGATGTAAGACAACAAACGACAACCACTGAATTACAGTTAAATAAAATATGTCTCTTCTGTTCAATGCAATATTTACTGAGTTTGGTATAGTTATATTCATTGGCATCAACGGAATGGTTTTACTTCACATCAAAATTAAATATATATTCTGTTCCTGGTGATGAAATCAAGACGAAAGAAATGTGACTTAAGAAAACAATGAAGAAACTAGAGCAAATAAGTAATGATAGAGTTACATTGTTTAATGAGTGTTTTACAGTTATATTTATTGGCATCAACACAATGGTTTAACTTTACATCAACATCAAGTATATCTGCTGTTCCTGGTGAAAAAATCAAGAAATATCTATATAAAGTATAGCTATGCTGCATTTGTCTTGTAACCATGGTGTTTTGTTAGAGATATTAGTAATGGGATAGATAGCAGTAGATCTATAACAGAGACAGAGGTAATGAGATAAATGGCAGTAGGTTATCAAACAGAGACAAAAGTAATTATATGAATAGCAGTAGATATCAAACACAGACAGAGGTAATGGAATTATTAGTGAGAGATATCAAACAGAGACAGAAGTAATGGAACGAAAAGCAGTAGATATCAAACAGAGACGGAAGCATTGGGATGAATAGTAGAAGACATCAAACAGAGACAAAAGTAAAGAGATGCATAGCGGTAGATGTCAAACAGAGACAGACAATTGGGATGAATAGCAGTATTTATCAAACAAACTTCAAACAACAAAATAATAAAAAAATACCATCATCAAAAAGATCAACATTTGGATTTCTTCTCTGACAGTAACCTTATTATATTAGTATGTCTGTTCTGACTTGCTATGTTCAGTGGACTCCAGCCATCATTGTCACATAAATCAATATTAGGATTTTTTTCTAACAACAACTTTACTATATCAGTATATCCTTCCTGACTTGCCATGTACAGAGGACTACAGCCATCATTGTCACATAGATCAATATTGGGATTCCTCTCTAACAGCAATTTTACTATTTCAGTATGTCCATTCTGACTTGCCTGTCTCAGAGGACTACAGCTATTATTGCCACATAGATCAATATTAGGATTCCTCTCTAACAACAACTTTACTATATCAGTATATCCTTCCTGACTTGCCATGTACAGAGGACTACAGCCATCATTGTCACATAGATCAATATTAGGATTCCTCTCTAACAACAACTTTACTACTTCAGTATGTCCATTCGTACTTGCCTGTCTCAGTGGACTCCAGCCATCATTGTCACATAGATCTATGTTAAGATTCCTCTCCAACAACAACTTTACTATTTCAGTATGTCCTTCCTGACATACAATGTTCATTGGACTAGAGCCATCATTGTCACATAGATCAACGTTAGGATTCATCTTTAACAACAACTTTACCACCGAAGTATGTCCGTTCTGACATGCCTTGTATAGAGGACTACAGCCATATATATTGTCACATAGATCAATATTAGGATTCCTCTCTAACAACACCTTTACTATTTCAGTATGTCCTTCCTGAATTGCTATGTTCAGAGGACTACAGACATCATTGTTACATAGATCAATGTTAGGATTCCTCTCTAACAACAACTTAACTATATCTGTATGCCCTTGTTGACTTGCCATGTTCAGAGGACTACAACCATCATTGTCACATAGATCAATATTGGGATTCCTCTCTAACAGCAATTTTACTATTTCAGTATGTCCATTCTGACTTGCCTGTCTCAGAGGACTACAGCCATTATTGCCACATAGATCAATATTAGGATTCTTCTCTAACAACAACTTTACAATTGCAGTATGTCCTTGTTGACTTGCCATGTTCAGGGGACTACAACCATCATTGTTACATAGATCAATATTGGGATTCCTCTCTAACAACAATTTTACTATTTCAGTATGTCCTTCCTGACTTGCTATGTTCAGAGGACTACAGACATCATTGTTACATAGATCAATGTTAGGATTCCTCTCTAACAACAACCTTACAATTTCAGTATGTCCTTGTTGACTTGACATGTTCAGGGGACTACAACCATCATTATTACATAGATCAATATTGGGAGTCCTCTCTAACAACAATTTTACTATTTCAGTATGTCCAGTCTGACTTGCTATGTTCAGTGGACTACTGTCATTAATGCCACATACATCAATATTGGGATTCTTCTCTAATAACAACTTAACTATATAAGTATGTCCATTCTGACTTGCTTGTCTTAGAGGACTACAGCCATTATTGTCACAGAGATCAACACAAGGATTCATCTTTAACAACAACTTTACTATATCAATATGTCCTTGCTGACTTGCCTTGAACAGAGGACTACAGCCATTATTGCCACATAGATCAATATTGGGAGTCCTCTCTAACAACAATTTTACTATTTCAGTATGTCCTTGTTTACTTGCCATGTTTAGGGGACTACAACCATTATTATTACATAGATCAATATTGGGAGTCCTCTCTAACAACAATTTTACAATTTCAGTATGTCCAATCTGAATTGCTATGTCCAGTGGACGACTGTTATCAATGCCACATAGATCAATATTGGGATTCTTCTCTAATAACAACTTTACTATATCAGTATGTCCATTCTGACTTGCTTGTCTTAGAGGACTACATCCATTATTGTCACAGAGATCAATGTTAGGATTCCTCTTTAACAGCAACTTTACTATATCAATATGTCCTTGCTGACTTGCCTTGTACAGAGGACTACAGCCATTATTGCCACATAGATCAATATTAGGATTCCTCTCTAATAGCAACTTTACTATATTAGTATGTCCTTCCTGACTTGCCATGTTCAGCCCAGTAACTCCATCATCCGTACACTGATCCACATCTACATTATCGTGTAACACCCACTGTGCCATATCAGTACAACCATTACAACAAGCCATTATCAACGGAGTACTACCTGATGCATAGTGCTTCTTTGGTAAAACTATATCATAGGTATTGGCTAATGTTACTTGCTGTGATTTGTCCAGTTGTTTTAAGTGATGTAATAGCATTTGTCTGAATAATGGTTCTTCCATATTGTTGTTACAGAATACAACTACCACCTTTCCTACTGACCAGTCCTTTATAAACCTTTTTAAATATGCTTCTAAATAATCATCTGGTATTTCAATAATCAAGTCTGTATTACTGTTATTGTTATCTGGTGATTTCCTCCATATAAAACGTTCATGTATTAAATCACTATCACCATGGTCTATTAAACATTCAATCATTTTCTGACCAAAGTAATGGGCAAAGAAGTCAAACAATTTATCATGTACAGTTCTATAAATACCATTCTGTTTATATACAAATGTGCCATCTAGAGTGAGAAGAGCCTCTTTAAGTTCTGCCTTGGAAGTACTTCTGTTCAATCTACAAGCCTCACATGTATCTTCTATGATATGTCGTTGTTCATCTGTCACTTTACCTAGGAACCATTTTTCTGTTAGTTGATTATTAAAAAGAACTAGTAAAGCTAGGCTGCATATTTTATAGTTCCCTTCAACTCCATGCCTACTTAAATTGTCTAGTTCATTTTGATAGACAGTAAATGGATTTTCAAAAAATTCTTGAACATCTCCATGTTTCCCCTCATGATATAAAGAGCATAAAAGTGGAAAGAATTCACTTTTTTGTGATAACTTATCAATGTTATCCAAGCTTGAACCAATATATTTGTTCGCCATAATATTTTTTTCTACAGGTGTAAGGCATAACTTATCTGTCATTAAATTACATTCACATGATTTAAAAGGTACTAATATATTAAACTTATCATCTTTATAGACTTGTAACCGACAACATACAATAATCTTACAACATGTGTCTGCAATGATTGTGTTGATCACTGGTAACAGTTGTTTCCAGTTTTCAATCTGTTGTTGGTCAGCAGTAAAATTTCCACAAATATCATCTACAATGAAAACTGTCTGTTTACCAGGTTGATAATAAGCTTCGATATCAACTGGTTTTCTCACTGGTATTATTTTGTATCCTTCCTTCTGTAAAACTAGTGCTGTGTGTCTTGCAATAAAAGATTTCCCTACTCCTGATGGGGCAGTTAAAGTCAAACAACTGTTGTCCTTTAAACATTCCATGACGTAATCACTGGCTCTTGTAGTCACAAACATCTCATTCTTTTCTTCCCAGTCTATTATTTGTTTTTTCATTTGATCTGAAAAATATATAGAATGTATATGATTTAGATTAAAATTTGATTGATTGGTTGGCGTTTAACGCTACTTTCAGCACTGTTGATTATTTCGTGGCTGTCAGTTTAATGCTGGAGGAAGCCGTTTTGCCGGAACCACAAACCTTCTGTATTAAAACTGACATACACAGTCAATTATGATTGGAGTCGAGCACACCAGCCATGAGGGTGATTTTAACTCACAACCTTAGTGTTCAGAGGCTAGTGAATTAGTAGTTGGACTACCTTCAACACTTTGACCTTTTATATGAATTATATATTATCATTTAAGGCAGGCGTAAAATAGAGAATTAACTCTATGGAATAATTAGTTGTTTCACATTTTGAAATCTTTTGGCCTTTTATAGCTTACTATACAGTATCGGTTCTACTTATTGTTGAAGACTGAATAACGACCTGCATTGTTATACGAGCTTGTCCTTTGTTGGATACTTGTTTCATTGGCTATCAAATCACATCTGATTGTTTAGATAACATTATAATTGAACCATCCCCTAAGATAATTATACCGTAAAAAAGACACTAAAATATTGTCTTGGTTAATGAGTAAAGTTAGATTGCTGAAACGGCATATTCAGCATTTTGTTTTCATTTGAAAAGGGAAATACCCCGAGAACAGTGAACGTGACGCTTCGCAAAAACTGAACTTGTGTGGGTTCGTTGCGTGATGGTTCGTACTTTATTTGGCCTTTTTAACTTTTTTTTATTCAAGCGTCACTGATGAGTCTTTTGTAGACGAAACGCGCGTCTGGCGCAAATACAAAATTTCAATCCTGGTATTTGATGAGTTTATTTGGACCGATTGCTATAGGGCAGAGGTCCCAGGTTCGATCCTGACTCTTGATTAGAGGCGCTGGTAATTTCAGAACAGTAATAGGGTGATATTCAACCTACCAAACACATCTCTGTTACACGGACTTAAAACTAGAATGAGTACTTTAGAGGCCTCATGATCAATATCTCTTTGATCGTCTATTCCTGGCGAGAAGACTGATGGTTCTCTCAAAGTGTTTCGTTTTCCTCCATTCCTGGTATTATAATACTCATTTTGTGCTGGGTTGGGGATTGTCTATTGTGTATAAGTAAGTGCATATACATTGTATATAACTTAGTATAACTCCATTAATTAATAATAGAGATTTACAATAACTGTCAGACTCGGAGTCCGAGTACGAGTACGATTACAAATCATACAAGTAAGCTATAGGGGTGATATCAAAATAATGTGTACGCTAATTAAATTTTTCATGTTCAATCTTTGTTTGCTGATAGGCCAAAACCATTTATCAAATTAATTGAATTTCTTTTTTTTTACTGAAGGGTAGAAAGTGCGCATTTTCATTTAACCTCACTAACATATATGTTCAGAGTTTAAAAACTTTCCCAACAAATATTTATTGCTTATGTTATATGATAATGTTTACCGATTACATAAAAAAAAAACACCCGCTTTCAAGTTTAACAAATCCTTCTAAAACTGACGGAGACTTAATGTAGTGCACAACAGTTTGGAAAATCGCGCGCAAGACTTTCAAAAATAGTGCGCACGACTTTCAAACTCGTAGAGAGTCAGTCAAACTGTGTTTGAAATTTATGCGCACGCGTTTGAAATTAGTGCGTACGAGTTTTAAAGTCTTGATTACCAGTTTTAAAGTAGTGTGCACGAGTTTCAAAACTGGTGCGCATCAGATTCTATCTCTGTCAAACGATAATGTTTGTATTTACATATTGAACATAATGGGCTCCGCAGTAATGCATACTCCTGTTTGGATTGATTTTGATGAGAATATTATAAAAAGAACACAGTTCCAATGTCCCGTGTTTCACATATTTCATCTGTCAATACCAAATTTTATAGATAACTGGCAAGATTTGTACACGTGAAAGCACTAACAATGCAATTTTCTATAGCATTTATATTTCCAATAGACATATCTCTTTTAAAAACACTCCTGATATACAACTTTGATAACCTGGCAAGAATCGTACATACAGACAAAGAAAATGTTATTTATTTTTTAGAATAGACAAGTTTTCTGTATGAATGTTTTACGGATGCACAATCTAAAGCAACTTAATCGACGCTTTTAAACAATTTTGTGACCTGTTTTGTAATAAATGTTTCAAACCTTCCACGGTTACTGCGAACCAATTGCATTAAATATTGACGAATAAAAACGTTATAAGATCATTGGAACTCGTTTGAGGCTTCCTCGTCACACACTTAAATCCATAGTTAAAGTTTGTGGTAATCATTGTTTTTGTCAATCGCCGAAAACAAATTTTCAATAAACATTGTGATGATTAAAGTACAATGCTTACAATAATTGTATTTTTTGGAGATCACCCTCGTCATTTAAACTGTCTTACTCTGACTCATATTCGGATTCGAGTCGGAGTCATACACTTATTGTAAATCTCTAACAGGAAGTATTTACGGATTCCACTGTACTCTCGCAGCTCTTGAGGGGTGGTTCGAATAATTGATAAATTTACATACATACAAACAAACACAATACTTGATCTGTGTTTGATCAATATAAGCATTGTGAAAAACCTTCAAAACATTTGGTTTACATAAACTAGAGTATTGAAACCAATTTTCGGACGTACATGACGTATGTACGGACAAGTGTGAACTATTATTCCTCGTCGTCTATCCTGCACAATATTTTACCATTTATCCGTTATTACATGATTTCTTTATTCTGTTCATGGTTCATTTCTGTAATCAGTAGTGTATTCCCTTATTTTTGCCCACCACTGTCATTCTTGATACTTGTACTCCCCATTATTCTCCAATTTATTTTTGTTGGGTTATTGTTCTCTATTCATTTATATTTCTGTTACCCCATCAAGATTCTATATTGCATATAATTTTGCCTTTGAGAAGTCGATTTTCATATGCAATAGCAAATTTAAATCACAGCTGTAAGAGTCAACTATCAGCCATTCTAACAAAAATTACCGTATTTGGTCATGTATAACCTTTTTTACCCAAGACATATAGTTTGTAGATGGGATGCGTACTATACAAAAGTGTGGACGGTTTTTAGTGATTTTTCAATTATATTATGTGTAACGTCCTGTGGCAAATACTAAATGAATATTTTCTACAAGTACTTAATAGTATTATTACAGGCTTCTATTGTGAAGTTATAAAATATCAAAATACACTACATCAAATAATAATATATATACCTCTAATATTCTTTGGTATACATTCTTCCTGCTCAATTTCTATTTTATTTATTTTCTCTTTTAGATCTGAATATCCTTCTGTTTCTGAAATACAAACAAAAATCCAGTTGTCTATTATACTAAGCAAATTGCATAAACGTAATGTTAAATTCAAAATTATCATGCCAAACACAGGTTTATATAAGAATTAGAAGATGTGACATATACGGCCTTTACAAACGAGCAAAACCTATGCCACATAGAAAGCTTTAAATGACCCCAGCAAGACAAATGAAAACAATTACAACCCTTCATCTTACCATAAGAACAAACAATAAACAAAGGCTCTGAAAACCCTGTTTCGCTTACCTACATCTTCAACAATGGCCACTTTTTAGTAAACATTTTCATTAAAGGGGAACAACCCAATTATGAGTTACCTAAACATTTCAAATATGTTGACAAATTTAAAGATCTTATCCTGGTGATAATTTTTCCTTTCTTTTAATCTTTCTATTTTTATTATCCAAAAAACGTAAAAATAACCATTAAAGGCCAATAACTCCAGTAACCAGTTGCATGAAGATTTAATTCATTATGATTTTTTGTAGATCCCGTCTTGATGAGCATTTGTGCTATTTAAAGTTTCTAATTTTATATTACAATTTTCAAAATAAGAGGCAAACATTAAAAAATTGGGAAAATCGTCACCTAATGGACAATTACTTCAAAAAAGATTCAACATTTTTTGTCAAGTTGCATTATTTGTAGATCTTATCTTGCTTATGATTTTTGCTTTTTAAGGTTTCCATTGATCTATAGTTTTTGAAATTATGTTATTAGACAAGACGCAAAAATTTAGTAAAAATCGTCATCAAAGGGCTATAAATCTGATAAGGAGTCGTCTGACGATTTTAGTTATTGCTGTCTTATTTGTAGATCTTGTCTTGCTGATCAGTTTTGATATTAGATGTTTTCCTCTATCTATTATAATTTTCGAGATATATTGTAAAAGAGAAAAAAAAAGGCAAAGTTCA